TAAACTGTAAAATCTCAATAAAAAAATTAATTGTTAAGAAAATTCATATAATAATAACAATCTGATTATCTTTAATAATTCTCAAAGATCTTTATTATTGATGATCGATTTGAAAACAACGAAAAATTTGAATTCTTATGAAAATATTGAACTAAAATATTTTTTTTTTCTAATTGATTGCATTAAAATTATGAATTTATAAAATATTTAATAAAACTATGACTTGGATTTTGATTATTCATTAAAAGAAAAAAAAAAGAAGTTTATGTGAGATAACTTCGAGGTCAACTTTTCAAAGATCTAGTGATTCTTGGTGCAAGAAAAAATATAAATTCGGGATAATCGAATTTCTATTGATTCTGAAGGCAGTATTGAGAATTGGAATTTGACCGATTTTTTATGCATGCTCTCAAAGTAGACCTATTTAGTAGAGGAATCGAAGTCGAACCAAATAGTTCTATCTGGTTCCGATCCGATCCGATTCTACGGATTCTCAAAAAAAAAGTCCTCCCTACGAAAGAGTAACAAGTTATAGTCCCCACGCTTCTGGAAAAGTAATGAATGATTTAGCTATGTTTGACAACTATTATTTGGGATAGTGATTTTTATGAGAATATGTAGTTAAAAAATATGAATAAAATTTGGATTTACGTACAAAATATTTTATTTTGTGGTGTGTAGTTGAAAATAAATATGTAAAAAAAAAATGTGAAAATAATAATTGTCAAACATGGACAATATGCTTAAACGATTCTAAATAATATAACACATCTTAAATCAAGGGATATGGCAAGATATGAACACAAGAAAAACACGATAGCATGATTGGGATAAAAAATTAACTTTCTTACAAATTAGGTAGATCATATTGTGTGATCCATGTCTGTCCACACGTAGGTCCTACAATTTATCAAATAACTAGAAAATTTCTAACTTGTTTCTCTTGTAAGTTGTCGAATATTTTAGTTCGTACTATTTGTGGGTCACCAACTTATTGTTAGCCCAAGAATAAC